AAATTATACTAATTAATAAGAAGCAGGCAAGAAAAGTAAGAGCCTCAAGGCAGTAGCAGCATCTTGGCAAAACTCACACAAGCAAATGCACTATTGGTCTAGACCTCACCATCCTCTGTGTCTTTTAAAGTACATATACCCAGCAGTCAACTGTTTGTAGTATGAAATTAGAGTCAACCTGACTGGCCAAATACCCAAGTTACTAAAGCAATTCTTTAAAGTTAAAAGAAATCTGTGTGACCAACCTGTTGCCATTAATATCCAAGCTTGGTTACACCCACACAAACTGAAGCAACTGCAGATTACACTAAATTAATCTTTGACAAGGAAGATTAGTGCTCTGCTTAGAAAGATACCTATTACTTACTACCAAAAGAGCCGCAACTTCCTAGATACCTTTGAAAAGGTACTCATGTTTTAGTGAAAAGTCATCATCATTGTTTTGAACATGTCTTTACTGCTATTAGTTATCATTAAAGGAGTTAACAAAAATATATCTACTATTCTACAGACAGAACTACAACTTAATGGGATTTACGTAACATCCTTTTTTAGGACAAAAAATGGGCACCTTACATATGCCTTTTCTTTTATATTTAATAGAAGCCCATTTACTTATTCGTTGTCATTGGTTCTGTGTCTGAAAACTGCAATTAGTTATGCTTCATTGACACACATATGTATCCTTTTGTGATTACATTATTCAACCTGAACATCAACAAGCAGGACTTGCACCACTAAGGAATTGCACCACCACCCCTATTTTATTAAACCATTTGTGGCAAGAGACAGTTAAATACTGTGTATCATTTGAATACATTATTCTAGCTAGGAAAACATTAGTCTGACACATGAACGAAACAATCCAAGAGACCAAAAAATTTTTAAGAACACAAAAAATATTAAAAAATAAAATGCATTACTAATACTGTTTTGTTTTCACACGGAACTCATAGTTACAAGTGAGCTTCACTAGAAAAATAAAACTGACAACAAAAAAACAAAACAACAATGGAAAACAATTTTCATTAGTTCAAATGAAACCAAGGGCTACCAGCAGTAAAAACCTAACTTCTTTAAATTTCAAAATGAATCTCCTCTCCTGACCTTTATAGAGCTCAAGATGCATACGTACACAGAATAAACAAAATAATTTGAAAGCAAATTCACTGAGTGCGCCTGACCTTTGAAACAGCACAGATAATTTTAATCAGATTTGCACAATGTTACTCTGCCTCAGTTTTCATGTAGCAACACAAAGATGACAAAACTACTTAAGGAAAAGGAAAAAAAAGACAACATTTTAGCAAAGTAAAAGCATCTTTAGTTTTTTTGTTTTGTTTTGTTTTGTTTTTTTTTCCAAATAGCCAACAGCCCTAAGAGTCTCAGGTTCAGGAAAGATTCTTCTGAAATTCTACTCCCTCAGCGTTCAGCTAAACTTGCACCCTAGAGAAAAAAGCCCTTTTTACCATGTTATGCAAGTTTCTGTCATTTAACTTGAAGAGCTGACACCTCAAAGAAAAAATTACACATACATTTTTAAAGTTGGGTTGTGTAGGAGCGGTCAGTAGTTGCCTCTTTAATTACCTAGCATACAGTAGGCTTCTTAAAGCTTCTCAGTGATGCTGATTATCTTATATGTTCAGAGATAATGTGTAAAAAAAAAATTTTTTTAAAAAATCAAGATTTGCAACATAAATAACATGACAAACAGTGCTGACTAGTAAAAATCTCTAGTTACAAAGAATAGTTCTCAGAACTATACACAAATTAGCCTTAGTTGAAACAAGCCTAGCAATACGATCCATTCTGGAAGTACAGATGTTACAACAAGAGTTATAAACAATTTATCAGACACCAAAGCTAACCCTTGCTTGTAACTCTTGGAAAAAAACAAAAACAAAAACAAAACAAAACAAAACAAAAAAAAAAAAAAACCAACCAAACAAACAAAAAACTTATACTTTATGCAAGCTCTGTAACAGCTTACTGCAAGTAGTTGTATTACTTATGCCTGATGAATTGAGAAGAATTAACATGGAGAGCTGAAAACTCTGTTTAGATTCCGAACATCCAAACTCCATCAGATTAGACCTTCCACACTGACAGTGACAACTGGGTTCTGCCCAAGCTGGAAAACAGCATGAGAGTAAAATACAACTAAACAAAGACACTTTTAAAATGCTGAAGTTTGCCTTTGGTACTTTTGAGTAAAGAACAACAGTGACTAGAACAGAGGTCCTCATTAGTTCAGTATTTACCCAAGTCTAAACTCTGTTTGAGGCATGCAATAGGACAATATAGCTTTCTCAAATAATAGGCTTAAATCTAACAGCACTAGTTGAAATTACTCTAGCCCAGCTGGTTTTTAAGCTTGACTTCTTAGCATTTACAGGGAAATACTCAGTTCAACAAACCACTTTGGTATTAGAACAGACCGAAAGGAAGTGCAAAGTAAATATTGTTAATGACATGAACTTGTAACTATGCACAACTCAAATGAATTTTATACATTGGCCATTTCCCTGTAGAACCACCACTATCCTTTTAATATCTCTGAGAAACAAAATGAGCCAAATGTATTTATAAAGACAGAATTTGGTCACCTTATTCACACTCAGATCACTAAGAGCAAATATTATAACACTTGACATAGCCTCTGAGACAATAAGCAACAGAACAGAGTTTATAAATCATTTGAAAACAAGCATTGCTGAGAGTCAACACATGTTAAGGTGAGATCATGAACAAGATGGCTCTCCTGAACAGCAACAGACTATTCCTGTGTCACTGATTCATTATCTGAATTTGCTGTAGGCCAGCCAACCATTTTGATTATGGTAACAATCACACTCCTCTTCTGACAGACTGTTTTGGTCTTTTTCTCTCTCCTTTGCTCACAGTGGATTTTATCCTAGAGCTTGTCTTCTGCCACACCTATCTGATATCCTCATCTTTTCCTAATAAGGAGTTTCACTTATTCAGCTTATCAGGAAGGCTGATAAAGGATCTGATCACTGTGTACAGACACTTACACAATCTGACAACATAAAGCATTCTGACCTTGCAAACAGTCATATAGGACTAGCACCTGGAAATGAACATTAGAGAACCTGAAACTTGAGTAAGACCCAATTTCCAGACACTGAAAGTAATTTAAAATGAGCTAAAAAAAAAAAAAAAAAGTAAATAAGTATTGAAGTAATTTATGACTATGCTATTGCATTACAGTTTATTAACATGAGATGGAAGTTATCACTCTGCTGTAAGGCAAATTCCAGTTTTGCTTGAGGAATGAGAAGGAAGCCTATATGTACCACTAATTACTACAGTTTCCACTTAGGAAAGCTCCAATATATGGAATGCTCATGAGTCTAGTAGAAAAAAAAAAAAAAAATTAGTTCAATCACTCACATGATTAATAGAAAAAGAATGTTCCTATGAAAAGATGTGAAGAGATGCAATGCTCTGTTGAACTGCACTTTCAGGAAAAGCTCCTGCAGACAAAACCTGTTCTTTTTTCAAGACTTTTGGGTTTTTTTTAATAAACAAACTTAGAAAAAAAATAGAGAGAAGAAACCCCAACCTTGATCTGATTATTAGTTAAAATTGATTTTCTTTTTTTTCAACTACAGCTTTCAAGATTTTTTTTCTTAGCATCCTTAAAAATCAAAATGGACAATTATGTTTCATTGCTTTCAATAGGAAACAACACTAACAGCAACATCTGTTAAGTGGCAGCGTCTTGCTTAACCGGGGCAGGGGGAGACAAGGCTTCATTGTAGTCATTTACCCTAATTTAACTTCATCATAAACTCTCCTAAACTGTCAGGCAAAGCTTAAAGGAAGAAGTTTCTCGTAGGAACACCAAATATTTATAGTCACATGTATTTCAAGCAGTAGGCTCTGAGGTAGTGTTTATCTTGAATTTTTAATTCAATATATACTGTGCTGACTGTAAGGGCATATAGGAAAAAAATATTCAGAAAGTATATCCAAGAAAAATTCCATTGATCCACTAACAGTGTAAGCTAATGATCTACCCATGGTCTATTTCACTAGTTAGATTTAGAAGACAGAAATTATATGACCCTTTTATAATACACACTAATAAAATATATTTTTATGCTGAACTTCTGTACAATATTTTTATGACAATACTTCTCTACATAGTAATGAAAATCAGCTGCTGATCCATTACAACATGGCCACACCCCAGTTTGATGATAATACTGAATAAATCCAGTTTTTATGCAGGGCCTGTATGGATGAAAGTCTGTAAATAATACCTCCAAAGAAATGACAGCATCCAGTTTATCTCTAAAAATGACTGTAAACATCCTACTGCCATTAAGATCTAAGAAGCAGCAGCCATCTTTCAACAAAGAACTCCCACAACAGATGAATGATTATGTTGCATCACAAACTGGTTTAAGTGAACCTGTTGAATTTAAGGAAACATTTGCAAAGATACATCTGGCACGAAAGGGCTGTTTAGAAATTGTTCCTTTTCACGTCAGTTGGGACAACACACGAACAAAGCAGTGCTTCGTCTAGGATGATGCACTCTTACTTATCCCATGTTTCCAAGTGCAATTTTCTCAGTGGTAAGGCTAGTAATTCTTCCACCTAAAGCAACTCCCACTTCTCTCTCCAGATCTTGCATAAACCCATGTGAGCAACTGCCTGTATGCCATACAATGAATTGGAACAATGAACTTTTCAAACTTGTCAAGGTTGAAAACAACCCATTTTTGTATAGTCAATTTGCTCAGGTGTCTCCACTGGTCTGACTCACCACAGGATCCAAGAAACAGCTGTGTCAGGATAACAAATGCATTACACATAGGAAAGGAAAACAGCAGCTGAGATGGAGTTGCTTGATCTGGAATTCCTTTAGCTACTTATGCTATTAAAAAAAAAATAAAATCAAGGAATTAAAGCTTCTGTTGACAAATCTTACTTTTTGTAGTGGTTGAATCTCGTATGACAAATCTTACTTTTTGTAGTGGTTGAATCTCGTAAGACTGACTCTGTCCTAAAAAAAAAAAAAAAAAAAAAAAAAAAAGGCAGTAGTGCTTATGCTGTTACTTAGCAGGCAGTTTAGAAACTGGGTTTTTGGGTTTTTAAAAATCACATCTCACTTAAATGATTACACAAGTATTTCTAGACAGACCCCTGCATCCAGACTCAAGCACTAGCTCAGTCTTTCCTGCACTGGCATAGCAAGAATTTTGTCTTAGAAGTACAGGTGTAGTTCATTTCCATTATCAAAGTATCTTTCCCACCCTTGACTTTCACCATTTCTGCATGGACTCAATCCATGCTAGCACAACTTCTAAACTGACAGTCACTTCGATCATGATTATGGCTATATCCTTCTAGATGCTAGTACCATAGCAGCAACACATTTGGTCAGGCAACAGCAGTCTCAGCAACATATTCTTATAAATTGGATGATTAAAATGTGATTTCAAACTCTGGTGCCTAAAGGAAAAGGATATAGTATCATCTGATCACCATCAGCCCCAAAGTATCAAAGTTCCCATCATATGTTTTCATAAGGTAGATTAGTACAAAAATATTTGTGAATTAACAGCTCTATAATAGGTAGTTTCTTACAACATTGGAAAATATAATTGGTACTTGCATCATATTAAGGAAAACTGTTGTGGTTTAGGCCTGATTGGCAGCCAACCACAATGCAGCAGCTCTCTCTCCCTTCCCCTCCAACAATGAGAAGGGACAGAGAGCCAGGCTTGGGGTTCAAGATAGGACTGGGATGGGGAAAAATCCCCCTTTTATGATCACGAGCAAAAGGCAGACTTGTTAGGGGAAGAAAAAAAAGAACATACATTTATTACAGACACTAACAACACATAACAGAGTAAGACAGTGAGAAGCATTGCCACATCTTGAGAACACCTTCCCCCCACCCCTCCCTTCTTCCCGGGCTCAGCTCTGCTAGGGGAGTGTCCGAAACTTGTTCCTCCTGCTCCATCGTGGTCCCCCTCTCACAGGAGACAGTCCTCCACAAACTTTCTCCGACTTGAATTCCCCCCATGGGCCGCAGCGTTCCCCACACTGCTCCGTCATGGGTCACTAACTTCCTCCGACTGGATTCCCTCCCACGGCTGCAGCCCTTCCCGAGCTGCTCCGGCGTGGGACTCCCCCGCATGCTGCAATCCTCCCAGAGCTGAATTACAGCAGCGGGGCTGCCTTTTCCCATGAGATCCCGGCCTTCTTCAGGCACAGAACCTTGATCATCCGAGCAGGAACAACAGGCCGTAAATCAATGTCTGCTCCACCATAGACCTTCATGGGTGGCGGGGGGGGGCCACCCTGCCGTCTCACCACAGGATACAGGGGGGTCTCTGCTCCGGCACACCTCCCCCCTCCTTCCTTCCTCCGTTCCTCCACTGACCTTGGTGTTCAGGCAGCTGCATCAACTCCTCCTCACAAGTCCGACTGCCCGTCACCACGTCCCTTCTTAAATACGTTATGGCAGAGGCGCAGCCAATTGGCTCAATTTCCCAAACAGAAGTGGAGCTGATGGAGCTTCGAGAAGCTTCTCACAGGGGGCCGCCCCGATAGCCCCCTCCCCTGCCACCAAAAAACTCCACCACTCACTCAACCCAGGACAGTACCTCAAAAACTAACATTATACTAGAACAATACAGGAAAAAACAGCTGCCAAACACAGAATAAAACCTCTTTCTACTTTGATATTTTCTTTTCAAATTTGAAAGCACTTGTCCACATCTTTAGGCACACAAGGACTTTAAAAATACTTGTTTTCCTAAGAAAGCCCTTTTCATTTATTTTACTACTCCCATAAAAATATCTGTATTAAAATGCACTACTTTGTCTAACATCAGAGTACCTCAAATTGTATCCTGAGTTCAAAATAAAAACACAGTAAGATTATTTCCAGAGTTGCATAAACATCCCAACCACCACTATCTATTTCCTGGTTTATATCCTGTACCTAGTATCCTCTTATGTAACAGCCCCACAAACTAATCCTGATTTTTGATACAAAGTTACAGACCAGTAACTGCTTAATATCACACACTGAGAATTGCTGATGTCCAACTGCCAAGATTACTCTTTCGTCTCCAGTTCAGTACTTAGAACAATTTACGATAAATAAATTTACAATAATTTATTATATAAATAATAGGTTTAATAATATCTATTATATAAATAATAGTCAGAGTTTTTAATAGGCAAATGACTACTCTTACACAAGGCTGTAATAGAACCAAAAATATTAGTTGGTAATCTGCATGCAGCAACATGCAAACAGGCACAATAATTTGACAAACAAGATTTCACAAAACAATAACATCTCTGTAGCTTCATGATAATTAAAACACAACTTCCATGCACAGTAATGGAGGCTGAAGTCCAGGGTCATAAAATTTTCTATTGAAATACTGTGTAGACTATTCACTCTTCATTTGAGATGTGTTTGTCTATTTTGTTTTTTCCATAAATATGTGAACCTAATCATATTTTAAACAAGACTACACATTTTCCTCAGCAAAATATCTGCCTCACTAAAAATATGACTGAAGAAATTTATAAACCTTAGATTTAGGCAAGCTGCCTTCTGTCTTTCCCTCATCTTTTTCTAAAATTGAATGTTTTAAAGCCAAATTTGACCTAAAAACTTCTGTGTAATGAATAAAATTCTATTCTGAACTAGCATTCATCACAACTATATAATTCTTAAATATTTAATAACACAACATGCACTAAAAAGAGACTGAAAGCCTGAAATCATTAGGAGATGTCCCAGCACAAGAAATTAAAAGGAGACATACATTTCTCTGCAAGTATAGTTTTGAAGTCCTTTCACATAGGAATCTAAAGACTGTCAGCTCGGTTGCTCTGCTACTGTATATTAAGTAAGCATGTAATGAAGCTACTGGTTTTGATTCATTGAGATGCCAAAGATCATGGGTAAAGTATATAAAATTAATGTTGGGGGGTTTTTGGGGTTTTGTGGGCTTTTCTGGTTTTGTTTGGGGTTTTTTTGGGTTTTGGTTTTTTTTTTTTTTTTTTTTTTGAAGTGGAATATGAAGAAGGTGGTAAGAATCAGGTTCAGCATCTAAGAAAACAAAATACTGATGACAACAACAAAAACATAAAATCCAACACCACTTCATTTTAGTGATCATTTAAAGAAATAATAACAAATAAGTGCCATTTAAAGCTGTTTCCAAATCCGAACACACTATGAAATACCTTACTTCCTATCAAATCAGGGAATCATGATGTTGTTTTCATTAACAGAGTACTAATTCCCAGTCTGAATACAAGCTAAATGAACATTTAAGCCTTGTATGTTACCTAGCACTAACGTACCTTCACTACCTTAGTTCGCAGTTAAGACTTGTACATGAATCCAGCAAAACAGTTTAGAAGATACTTAATTTTCAGTATTTGCATAATACCATTGAGCAGAACAAATAATATGCGTACTTAGTGCCAAATGTCAGCACTATGCCAATTTAAAGCCTTATTCTCTAACGTTTCAGAAACAATTTTGAAAACAAATTAAATGACATACGTAAACTACTCCAACAAGTCAGTGTGCAGTGACTACTAAACAACAGAATACCTTCCAAGGCCAATACCTACCAGACACATGAGTTTTTTAGCAACTTAAGACCTTGCTAAATCTGTGCAAATGCTAATGCTAAAAAGCATTTATGTTCAGAAGAATTAAGATAAATATTTTTGACTACTCATGCACTAAGCCACAGCACTGTTTTGATAAAGTAACAGGCATCACTGCAGTGCCAAAACAGAAAAATCTGTATTTTGGAGTATCTAGAAATGTGAGGCTGATGAATGTAGTTGCTGAATTGGTTGTATCACATTGCAAATCTGATGAGCTATACTGGGAATATTCAGTATTGCAGTGAAAACTGATGAGAGGAAAAGGACACATTCTGATTAAAATCAAAAGGTTTATCTACATCTCACAACTAGAACATTTTTTTTAAAAGCCCATAGGTTAAAAATAGCTCTTTTACTAAGGCCTATTTACATTTTTTAAGTTTTGTACTAGAATAAACACACCATTTCTAAAAAGGATAGGCCTTTAGAAGCACTATATTACTTTGAATATTTCTACTGTAATTTGAAGTGTTTGGGAATGAGGGTTTGTTTTTGAAGAACCTCTCTACCATCCAAGGATACTATTGTTTCCCATGGCACAAAGGAATGTAGCCCTTTATCCCCAAAGGAAATACAGTACACAGCATTTTTTTTAATATAGGAAAACCAGATATGAGCTATCAACAATCTACCTTGAATTCATTAAATCATCACCTTGCTAAACATGACCTGACCGAAGTCTACATTTTGCCCATCTATTCACTATTGACCATTAAAGTATGCCTGATCTTTCCAAGTTTCTTCTAAGAAGACACAGAAAGCAAAAACTACCAGGGGCTTCTGGCCATGATAACATATTTGATTTTCAACAAATATCAATGCCTGACTCTGCTACAGAGTTACATCTTGATAATTATTTTAAGTGACGCCTACATGTTTCCTTTTGTCTTTTTTTTTTTTTTTAATTTGAAAGGACTGTGTTTTTCTGTGAAATTTTACTAAACCCCAAGGGACCAAAAAAAAAATCCTACCAAATGCATTACTGTTCAAAAGCTTTCACTTACATGAAGACAAACCAGTATTCTGAATCTTTACAACACAATCACCACTTATACGCTGTGTACGTATAAAGAAAAAATAAGCTGTATACTAGGGAGTCCTTCCAGAAGCATGGCACTAGGGCCAACAGACATACATCACTATTTATGCAGGTACTCGTACTCCCAAGCTCCTCTTTTTTTACAGGAGTCAGTGCTCCAATTTACTTTTACCTTAAGTATTTTAAAATACACATTCTATACTCCTTGATCTTCATTACAAGTACTTGGAAGGAGAAGATCTCACTTGAAATGTACATTGAAACACTATCGTGCCTGTTTTCTGCTCCAAGGAAGATGAAACCTGGTAACTTAAACACAACAACTGGCAGAAATAAGCGGAAGTAATTTTGTAAGATCTGGAAAAGCAAGTAGGAGTGGAAAGGTCCAGTATTAGTAGCTGACTTTAGCAAGGACTGAGTGTCAACAAAGGAAAATTAAGTTCAAAAATACCGTTAGCTGTTTTATCTATTCATTATGAAAACTTGGTTTTTTTGAACTCTACTTGGTATGTGACACCACCCTATATATAAGAAGTAAGACAGGAGGGAAAAAAAAATTGTAATTACTGCAGTAAAAAGGAGTCTGGTCAACAAAGTATTTCCTTAGAAATGTCAGTAACATATTGTCCACAATTATAATAATCTGATTACTGCAAGATGTGCCTGCAGAACTCTGTTTTCCTATATTTGAACAATTGCTATGCTGATCAAGCTCTTCTTCAACACCACCTCAAGCTAAAGTTTAACCAGACTAAGAATTAAGGATGACTCCTTAATGCTCCATTTGCTGATCAAAGCAAATTCTCTGCCTGAGTATAGATAATAATTCAATTAAAATGTAACTAATGAATCATCTGATTACTGTCACAATCCTTGAAATTCAGCACAATTATATCCACTTCTGGTGGAATATCACAATAATAGCACAAGATCAACATAACTAAAACTGAATATCTATGAAACAATTGATGAAGTTTGTAATGTTTATCTTCTGTACTTCACTTGGAGACAGGGGAAACAAGTAAAATAGAAAATAGACCTTCAACACATTGTGCTGTCTAGCTACAGGATTTCTCACATTAATGGTTTCAACTTTTGGGGGTGGGGTGGTATTTTTCAAAATAACAAAGCCTGATGCACTCAAAACCAGTCTTTTATTCGCTCTGTTACAACAAGCATCTACAAGAACCTAATATACCTGCTCCTCTCTGAAGGTAACCTCAGCCCTCCTGCTCTGATAAATCCCCTCGAGGGATTACATTCTGTTGAACCTCCATTTAGGGTCCTTTTATAGTACAGGATTCCTTCCCATAACCTAAGCACTTGTAGAGGAGTGCTATTTGTAAAAACAACTCTCTAAACTGTTCCTTGTAGGAATACAGTGAACATACTGTCTTGAAATTTAAGAGAGGGGAGGGGGAATTTGTCCTAATTAACGACTCCTGCAGAAGCTCTTTCAGCAGGTGAACCACTTTCAGGCTTTTGAGAGAATAAGCAAATTTTAATTGCATACTCACCAACAAGACTACATCAACACAGAAAGCTATGGGTTAGTCAAACAGGACTAGATCCAGTTTACAGATACAGCCAAAAAAAGCATTGGAATCAAGTTCAGCTAGTCCAAGTGTCATTTTTACTAACTAGTAAAGCTTTCTAAATCCTGAACATTATGAACCTGCTTCCCATACAACCCCATCTTATCCTTACTTTGTGTGCACATTATTATGCAAAGAAGTAACCACTTCACTATAAAAACTTACGAACAGAAGTGAAGGGCTTCAAATTCTGACACTGAGTATTTACCGTGGATATTCACAATTACCCTGCAGCTTTAGGGACAGTCTTACTTCCCTCATGTAGACTCAACCACCCTAAGGAACCCAGTAGTCATTTTATCACTAAACCAAACAAACCCAGATTCTGTTAGGCCCTTTAAAAAAAAAAAAAAAAAAAAATTACATACACATTTTAACATTTCACTTAGAAAACAAAAATTATAAACAAGGATGCACAAAGAATATATTGTGCCAAACATATCTGACAGTTTTATTTGATAAATTACTGTTGTAGTCAAGAAATACAAGAAGAATGAACATAATTTATTAAGACTGCCTTTAAAGCATCCAGTTTCCCCTGAGAGATTATGGAAATAACAAAGCAACAAAAACATCTAGCCCTGTAAGAGTAATTTAAATGTAAGCGTGAAGTATCTATAGCAAGGCAAACTGGACATTTAAGCTATTATTTTTTAAAAAAAAGGAGAAAACATGGATGATACTGGCCAACTTAAGTTCCACTTAAAAACAATTAATCTTAATGCACAAAATAAAACATTGCGTACATAGTACCAATTTATTTGGAAATAATCTACTTGCATTTCAGAATCATTCTAGTATTAGAATTTGAGCTATAGAAGTCAACAACAATTTTCTTGCAGACTTAATAGGTCAACATTTGGGCCACTGTAGTAAACATTACCCATTAGTCTGAAGCTGTTTGTATACACACTAATGACGTTCTATACACCAATCAGTTGACAAGGTTGGAAAGTGACAATATTTTTAACTTTTGCAGGAATAGACAGAATTATAAACACATAAAATTATATAAATAAACATAATTGACATAAAGCTGCAGACACTGGAGAAGAATGAGTGATGTATAAAACTGAGTAATTCTATTTACTGCAAATTCAGAAAAGGATTCATGTGACATGTCAAAATGTATATGAGAGGATTACACATTGTAACTGTAAAAAGGCAAACCCTATAAAGTATGTACACAGTTGTAATATGCAAAACAAGTGGATAATCTTGTGCTCAACGTTAAGTTATATGAGTTACCCAAGGCATTGTTTCCAATATCATCTCTATATCCTCCAGTTTTCCCAACATGTAAAAATACCAACTTGGTCCCTAGTAAAGTCAATGTAAACTGCTAACATACAACTCAAATGCTGTCAGACTAAAATATTTTACTATTACTACAGCCTTACTTTAACACAGTCTTCTTTCTCATCGCATTCAGAGACTGAGACATAAACCATAACAAAGGTAACAAAATTGTAACAAACTGAACACAAACATCTGAAAAATTGACTCAACTAAAAATCCTGTTTAATAAATAAGTAAATGAAATCAAGCAAGCTCCCCAGTTTTCACATATTGCTGTCTTAGTTCTTGTAAATTTTCTCAAGACTATAATACCAATTAAATTAGTATTATTACTAACAGCACGTTTTGAAGAGATTTAATTAGAACTTGAATCAGAAGTGCTACACTTGGACAAGTAACAGCTCATGTTGAATGAAACTGGCAACATTTGTGCCCAAACATCTTTCAAGGGGGAAAAAAAAACAAACAAAAAACAACCACCTGAAAGAAATATAACTAAAGGTTTTATAGTAAGTGGAGGAATTGGCAAATGAATTCAATCCAGCTTTTACCAGCACTCAATGCCTAACACTCACAGAAAAAAAAACAGTGTGCGTGTGCAGAATTTCTTTTCAACATGCAGAATGTAACTTTTAAAGATAGGAATGGTACTCTGCTGTCATTTAGAGATTTAAAACTACTCAAAATATCTAAAAATGCATTTGAGGGGAAATATGAAAGCAGGATATGAAATTAGGGGGCCTACTATTTATTGGAGATAAGAGACATCTTGCCCCGAGGAAAAAGGCAAAGTATTTAATGCCATTTTTCCATTAGACATTTCAGTGATTCAATTTAAAATTAAGTAGCCAAGATCTTAGCATAAGCTCAGGAATGTATTATTTGAATCACCAACATCTGAAAATTAATTACTCAGAAAACTGCTTACAGATGACATATTGTGTGCAATTACTCTTTGAACTGAACTTTGTATTTTCCTCTTTTTAAGAATGTTATAATTTAAGATTTTTAATTACATTAAACTCCACAAAAATTATTTAAGCCTTAGCTGCTTTTTGTCTCAAAGGCAACTTTCACCTGAACACCCCTGAACTCACATTTTTTCAGTTCTAGAACTAAGAACAAGGTGAGTACTAGTTGTGTTTCGTTTTTTTGGTTTTTTCAGTTCTCCATCTTGACTTTAGAGTGACTTATTATAAATCTGCAAAATTATTGTTTCTCAGACACATAGCATCGTTATGAAAACAAACCCACCTTTGTTATGTGTATTATCATATTGTCACCCAGTCTACCCACATTCATCTAAAATCCTTTGTAAACTGGTATAAGGGCATTAGACTGACCACTTGGACAAAGTGTGTAAAGCAGCTGAAATTATTAAGTGTTACTACCTCATACATAAATTCAAGTGATTGGCTGGTCTCTGTGATCCTAACATAGGCTGTTGCAATGACTGCTTTGGTTTTGTTGGGGCATAAAGATTAGCTAATTCGCTTTAATATGCTGCATCTCTGTTCCGAAAGCGGATTCGCCCACCTCTCCCTCTGACCATCGGGAGGCCAAGTGCAGGCAGGCTCGGCCGAGATGGGCAAAGGCCACGCCAGACATCCGGGATGCCACTTCCGCGCGGGCACGGCCGAACGCATCCCCCAAGCGAGGGGAGATGGCTAAGCGGCCCCAACAAGTAAAGCACCTAAACTAGCGCAGAACGCTCCCATAGCGCCTCTCCAATAGCCAGCCGGGAGGAAAAGGTGGAGACGGGGCCAGCGAGCCGCCCACAGCCCCGGCTGCCCGAGCGCAGCAGCCGCCGAGAGAACCCGGGGCGGCCGCTGCCTCAGGGAGCGCGCGGCAGCCACCAGCCCGCCCTGAGCGAAGGGCGGCGGCGCACAGCGCGACCCCCTCCTCGCTGGGAAACTCAGCGGCGCAACAAACGAGAGGGAGGGGAAAAAGAACACAAAATGGAGACTTACACTCCCCCTCCTAACACGCATGCGTGGTGCCGCCAGAGAGGGGCGGGGCGGGCCAGGCCAGCACTGGCCTGTGGCAGCCACGGGGCAAGGCAGGGTTCGCCACTTAAACAATGGCCGCCGGGGCGGCCGCTGGGCATGCGCGTCTTGCGCGCGCGCGGTGGCGGCAGAGGAGGAGGGGGAGTGTGGCGTTTCCGCCTGCCCCGCCCCGCGCGGCCGCTGAGCCTCAGGAGGCGAGCTGCTAACCCTCAGGAGGCGAGCTGCTAGCCCTCAGGAGGCGAGCTGCTAGCCCTCAGGAGGCGAGCTGCTAGCCCTCAGGAGGCGAGCTGCTAGCCCTCAGGAGGCGAGCTGCTAGCCCTCAGGAGGCGAGCTGCTAGCCCTCAGGAGGCGAGCTGCTAGCCCTCAGGAGGCGAGCTGCTAGCCCTCAGGAGGCGAGCTGCTAGCCCTCAGGAGGCGAGCTGCTAGCCCTCAGGAGGCGAGCTGCTAGCCCTCAGGAGGCGAGCCGCAGCCGGTGAGTTGGGGAGCACACCTGGGGTTCAGCTGTGGGCAGTAAAAGCGCTGCCCGAGTTCAGCTGTGGCTGAAACGAGTCAGTAGGGAAAAGTCTCACAAGTTGGGCAGCTGCCCTGCTTTGGCTCAGCATTACAAGTAGCAAAAGTAGTGTCATGGTGTGTGTGCTAACCTTATGATGTTCCTGCTTGTCCCTGCTGGAAACCAAGTTGCAGTGCTTACCATCAATTTGCTTTTCCTCTCATGTGGCCTTAATTTTTAGTTTCTATGTAGTGATAGCCTTTATCCCTCCTTGCCTGAGTGTAGGCACTGACAATGTCCTTGTCAAGTTCCCTGGCACAGATGTGGATGTTGGTTCTCCTCAGTTCAGTATCAGAGTCCTACAAGACCCTCTGCAGCAGCTGGCACCCTCCAAAGCAGTACATGCAGCACTGTGATTAGCTTCTGTCATTAAGTATTTCTCCCACCACGCTTTTCTAAAGGGAAAAAGCATGGTTAGTAGCTTGCTTTAGTTCAGTTGGACTGAGCTTTTTTAGTGGAGACAAGGTCTTACAGTAGAAAGCCAGTTTTCTAGTGGGGCTTTGGTTTGTAGGGAAGTTCATTTTCAGCCTGGTATCCAAGAAAGCTCTCTTACACAGCTACTTTTATGTATACCACTGCAGAGGAATGAAGTTGCTGAATGTTACTGTTATTCCAGTGCTTCAGGCAATCAGGGATGCTGGGCTCAAGCCCAAACCTTGAACTTTATTTTATATTCTAAAGGAAATGAGTGTAACAAATGGAAGACAGGTTTGATGTATTTGCTGGAGCCAGTATCACTGAGAATTAATGCAAAGCACTCATTGCTTTATTAATGAACACTACCACAAATAATGACCAATACTGCAAGTATCATAGCTTATCCCATACACTCATATTGAAAACATTGTTGCCACAAACCCATGAATGTGTTATCAAGTGTCATTATTGCTTAATGACAACAGAGCCAAGATTACCATTTGATGATACTGCTGTGGATAATGCTTCAGTATCTGTACTTCCATACAGCAAAGTCACCCAGCCTAATCCCCAAAATCACTCCATGCTGAAGTGACAGAATTAATTCCCCCTGCTGTTATACATTTTGCCAGCCCTTTGTGACAGTGCACAGTGACAGCTCCCTTGTGTCAGTTGTCTGCAAAGCTACCCCAGATATGTCCCTTTTACGGTGAGTACACCTGTCTTCTAGGATTATGCAATTGAAAATCCAATACTGGTTGCTCTTCCTATATCCACTTGATCCTGAGAAACATACTGAGCACTCACTTTGTTTACAAAAGTAAATACAGGTTGTACAATTCCCATATCTAGTACAAGTGAAGTATTTTGCCATCACAGAGTCACTTTTGTGTGTTTCTTAATTATTATCTTCTGCAGTTACACACTGGATGGCAGACAGACCTTGCCCTCAAATCACCAGATGATTGCAAATGCTAATTTCTGTGTAGCAAATTTTGACTCTAAAGATTGCTTTGTACTTTTATGAAGTCCTAGTGTTTTTAATGACATTACAGTTGTGCATTGATTTTATTATCTTGCGCTGATTTGGTAGTTTTCCTCATGTCTTCTTGATCTCACTGAAATTAGTTAATATATAATAGTATAGCAGGCAAACAGCAGTGACTCATTTTCCCCAAATTGACTCAATTTGTCATTAAAGAACATGAAGATGGTGAAGTTTGTGTCTTTACGTCAAGAACCTTATCTGCATCATCTTGCTGCCTTTAAGTTATTTGACTTTTGTGACCATCCCACCCTGTAAGGACCTTACTCTTCCAATCGTGACATGCCTTACTGCCGTTAATTGTTAAGGAGAATATATCACTAGTAAAAGCAAAAACCATCAAACTTCTATGTAGACAGTGTCACTGCCATTTGCAGATGGAACTCCATTCAAATCAAGGGGTACTGTGTGAGATGATTTACTCATCATGCCCTTATGAAAATATGATAATTTATCCTCTTATCCATGTCTTCCCTTTTTTACTCAGTATTTTAGAACAGTATCAGTAAACATTCCCTTTTTTTTTTTTGTGGAGAGTGGTGATGAGTGCCATTCCTCAGGGGTCAGTGTTGGGACCAGAGCTGTTTAACATGTTTGCTGGTGAGACAGACAGTGGAAGTGAGTGCACCCTCAGCAAGTTCACCAGTGACATCAAGCTGTGTGGTGCGGTGACATGCTGGAGGCCAGGGTTGCCATCCAGAGGGACCTGGACAGGCTGGAGAGGTGGGTCTGTGCAAACCTCATGAAGATCAACAAGGCCAAGTGCAAGGTCCTGCCCATGGGTCAGGGCAATCCCAAGCACAAATACAAGCTGGGTGATGAGTGGGTTGTGAGCAGCCCTGCAGAGAAGGACTTGGGGGTATTAGCATATGGGAAACTGACTGTGATCCAGCAACGTGCACTCACAGCCCTGAAAGCCAACCGTGCCCTGAGCTGCACCAAGTGTGGCCAGCAGGTCAAGAGAGGTGATTCTCCCCCTCTACTCCGCTCTTGTGAGACCCCACCTGCAGTGCTGTTTCCAGCTCTGGGTTCTGCAACACAGACATGGACCTGCTCAAGCATGTTCAGAGGAGGCCACTGTCATGCCTTGAACCCAGTCAGTGGCCAAACACCATCCAGCCACTCGCTCACCTTCCCCTAGCTGTGAATGGGGGAGGGAATTTTAGGGGTGAAGGGAGACTCACAGGCTAAGATAAAAGAGTTTAATAATGATAATAAAATAAAAGTGACAATAATAGAAAGAATAAATGGTCAATGCACAATGCAATTGCTCACCACCTGCTGACTGGTACCCAGCCCATTCCTGGCTACTGATGCCAAAATACCAAGATCCTGCAATCACAATCCTGGAAGCGAGAGGGAGAGCAAGAGAGCCCCTTCTCAGCTGCCCCTCCTCTATACACTGAGCATGACATTACACGATATGAAATATTTCATTGGCCAATTTGGAGTCTGCACTCTGGCCATGCTCCCTCCCCACTTCTTGTGCACCTGCACATGAGCAGGACATGGGGACTTGGAGAGTTCTTGAAATCTCAGCAACAACTGAAAACATCAGTGTGCTATCAGCATTCTTGTCATACCAACCCCCCTACTGAATCCAAAGCACAGTGCTATTCTAGCTACTGGGAAGAAACATTACCTCTATTCTAGCCCAAACTAGCATAGCCACGAAGATGATCAGGGGGCTGGAGCATCTCCCCTGTGAGGTCACGCTGAGAGAGTTGGGGTTGTTCAGCCTGGAGAAGAGAAGCCTCTGGGGAGACCTTATAGTGGCCTTCCAGTGCTTAAAGGGGGGTACAGGAAAGGTGGGGAGGCACTCTTCATCAGGGAGTGTAGGGATAGGACGAGGGGTAACAGTTTTAAACTGAAAGAAGGTAGATTTATATTAGATATAAGGAAGAAATTCTTCCCTGTGAGGGCAGTGAGACACTGGCCCAGGGTGCCCAGAGCAGCTGTGGCTGCCCCTTCCCTGGAAGGTTCAAGGTCAGGTTGGACGGGGCTTGGAGCAACCTGGTCTAGTGGAAGGTGTCCCTGCCCATGGTAGGGCTGTTGAGACTAGATGATCTTTAAGTTCCCCTCCAACCCAAACCATTCAATGGTTCTATGATTCTATGATTTTGAGGTGTGCAAACTAAGATAAAAATTTAAAACTGTTTTGTTGCCTCAGGTACATGTTTGTGGTACTGCGAAAACAAGCACCATACTGAAGTATATGCTGGAAAGAATTGAGACTTTGTTAGAGCAGCACATCAGAAAATCTGCTTAAATATGTCAGAAAGTTTTAAAACCAACAAAGGGAGGAAAAAAAACCCTGAATGTTGTTCAACAGTGTTGAAAACAAACTGCAAATCCTAATCTCTTTGAATAGCTTTAGTCATAATTCTCCATTTCTAACATTGCAACCTCTGTCTGTAACCAGAGATTATGTGTTATATAAATACTTGCAACCGCTAAAATGTGTAAAAAGCACATGAAGAGGTGGGCTACTGCTACAGCAGAAGCCGTTGCTCACCAAAAAGTAGATTTAATATTTTGTTATTAACAGAGAAAAACAAATGTAATGCATAAGCAAAAGTGAAGCGTGTTTCTAGATAATCTGCTTCTAACATTCAACTGAGCATGAAATCTCCTCTTGAAGAAAAGCTGGGTAGAGTTTTGAGGAAAATATTCTTTTAGCTCACTACTGTTTATTTGTTCACTGGGAGTTTTCACTTTTTTCCTTTATACTGAGCTGCTTTATACTTATTCAGAAACAAAATTTTTTCTCCCTCTAATCCTTAGGAGGGACACGAGCCCTTAATATCTCCTCTTTGCCAATCTCACAGCTTCAATAAGTCAAGTCCTTATAAAAGCTGTTTTACCTGCAAAATGATACATGAGAGTCTATCTGGCTCTAATGCATGGGAATTGTAGATTACTTTTCATTGTATTCTGAGGTTTCCACTATGAAACTATTTTTGTCCTAAATTACAAGTCCTAGAGCTGTGATGTTACATAGCATGTGTTTTCAAACAAACTTTCTTCTGCCTTTTGCCTTAATATTAGTTGTGTATCCAAGAAGTAG